CATATATCATAATCAGCTCAAGTCATATCTGATCCTTCGGAAATTCATTACCCAATTTCCACATCATTAATACGAGATAACATAACATCATCAACAACCTCATAAACAATGACGATCCAGGAAATAACATCATCATTCTCATAATCAATAACAATCTCGGTCAAAAACATTATTATGGTTCAAAACATCATCATGTTCATGTTCAAAAAATAAGTTCAATATATCATAAATTTTAACATATCACGAGGATCAAGTATTCCGAAACAAGGTTCATCAATCATAGCAAAAGCAAAAATAGTTCATAACATAAAGCAGTAAATGACCAGCCACTCGTCCTCCTTTGTCGTGCGAGCAGCTCAACTTGAAAAGTGGAGGGACTGAAAGAAAAGTTGTAAAAGTGATTAGGGATTTATTAGGAATTAACCGTTGATAATTGAGTTTTTATCTGTTATCCAAAAAAAAATCCAACCCGCCAAAGTACCTTAATCGCTAATGGTTTATCTTCATTCTTCAGCTGTGGGGAAGAAAAGAAGAGATCCCATTACCCATCTGTTTCAGTACAACAAACGAACAATGATTATCATCACTTGCGATGGTAAACTATAATCATACCAAAAACCAGACCTTGCCCACAATTTCGTACAGAAAATGGCTTCCATCTCTGCTGTAAATTCACCTAATATTCCTTCATTCCACAGAAAACCCATGTCGAAAAACCTAATTTTACGCCGATTTGTGTCGTCTTTCCGTTCGTGCCGAGCCCGTACGTTGGTAATGACGAATGCGGACGGTGGTGGGCCGATATCGAACGGTGGCGCGGATATGTTGGGAGAGCCCGTGGCCTCGGCTCCCGGCAACAATGAGGATCTGGACGATGAGATGAAGGGTGGAGATTGTGACACGTGGGCTGATTGGGAGGACCGGATTTTGCAGGAGACTGCCCCCGTCGTTGGCTTTGTTAGAATGATTCTTCACTCTGGAAAGTGAGTTCCTCAATTTCATTCAAGTACTACATTTTTGCGGTTAATTGGGTAAACTAGTGTAGTTGGCTCCCAGAACAACTTCTTACGGAAGGGCATTGTTGGTTTAAATTGTTTGCTTGTATGGAATTTTCGAATGTCGAGCTTGGATGATTGTTGGATTATCTGAGAACCAGATAAAATATACACCCGATGTTGGAAGTTTCAGGTGTGTAAATTTTGATGATTGTGTAAATCATGCTGATCTTTTCGGGGGCTTGAGACTGATCAAGTGTTTTTGGAATCACATATAAAATGGTAGTACTCGGTTTACGGGTAAAAGGAGAAAAATGAGTTTTAGTGTCTCTGCATTGTGCTTCGTCTTCTGCTTGTTTCTGCATAACGTAAAGATTAGGAGAGGAGTGCTTATATTTGCATTTAGTTGTGTCTGTAACAAGTACATAACCACTTCCAGGACTTACCTAAAGAGGTGTTCTTTCATGTGTATCATCATTTAGGTTCATGTTGAAAACACAACGAACTTTCAGCATTCAACTACTTTATCGTCTCCTAAAGTGATGCTGATTTTCTAAGATAAAAAGAGGCTCGTTTTGCTAAAGCCGGTTGTATACTATTCTTCTGCAGATATGGAAGTGGTGATAAATTGAGTCCTGAGCATGAGAAAACCATACTGGAGAAGCTACTTCCGTTTCATCCGAAGTGTGAAGAGAAGATTGGATGTGGAGTTGATTACATCACGGTATGGAAATTTTATAAATTGTATCTGGTTAGATCCATGATTTTGCAATTTTTCGCTTTTTTTTTTTTCCTCAAGAGGAACAACTGAC